TACACCATTGTGATGCTAATTATTATAGTAATGGTAATTAAGTGTATTGGTTAGAGTATCTGGAAATATGTAACACCAAATGTACTCAGCAATATTGTGTAATTATATTAATATATGGTCGTTCGTCTGGTGGGTATAAATACCACGAGCAATATAGTGGAATTTGCACTTCCTGAAGACGATCTGTGATCAAAACGCGTCAAGGTTTGATGACGTAACTTGCACTGATGTCATGTCCGGCTTATGGAATGCACGCCGCTCCGAGGAGCGCTTAGCTTAGTGGCTTCCATTTACACTAAATAAGGCTGAGTACACCAGGTGCCGGTCAAAGGCGCTTTATTTGTGAGTGTATTTTTTTTTTTATATTTATTTTTAACACAGATAAAATAAAGTTTTTATGCTATGGGATTCCCCTTCTTGTTCTTTTTGTGAAACATCTATCTTGAGATTGCGGGACCTGGAGACACTAATCAGATTCATTGGGAAATGCCCCACAAGCGTTGTAGATCACTCTAGAGATAGATGGTCATCTACACAGGATGATTTTTAGTCCATATGGGGCACTCTAAGCACTGATGTATGGAACACTGTAAATAAGCAGAACAAGTGAAGCACTGTAATCAAGTTGAAACACGAGCACAGGCACTTATTCACGGATTTGGGACTTTTATTTATTGGCAAATTATATTGTGGAATTTGAGACTGTATAGTAACTATGCACATATGTAATGTCTAGATGTGCGGTCTAAGTATATATACTGGTTTTCACATCTTGGTGTTAATGTTCACCGTAAAGACTGCTGCAATTATTTTAGTAAATTCAGCAATGGTGTTTGATTCATAGTAGATAAACTGATAAAAAAAAAATTAAAGGAACACTTTTACAACACAGATCTCAATGGGGAAAATATCTATATCTATCTATCTATCTATCTATCTATCTATCTGGATATCTATACTGATATGGACTGGGTATTGTATTAGGAATGTAAGGATGCCCCATCAATTGATGGAAAAGAAAATTATCAACCTAAAGAGGACTGAATTCAAAGACACCCTGAAAATCAAAGTGAAAAAATGATGCCGCAGGCTAGTCCATTTTGCTGAAATTTCATTGCAGTAGCTCAAAATGGTACTCACGTGCTTGTATGCATGCCGACAATGTCGAGGCATGCTCCTAATGAGACTATGGATGGTATCCTGGGGTATATCCTCCCAGATCTGGACCAGGGCATCACTGAGCTCCTACAGTCTGAGGTGCAACCTGTTGAATCGGATGGACCAAAACATGATATCCCAGAGGTGTTCTATTGGATTTAGGTCAGGTGAGCGTGGTGGCCATTCAGTAGTATCAATTTCTTTCTCCCTTCAGGAACTGCCTGAATACTCTCGCCACATGAGGCCAGGCATTGTCATGCACCTGGAAGAACCCAGGACCCACTGCACCAGCATAGGGTCTGACAATGGGTACAGGATTTCATCCCAATGCCTAATGAAAGTAAGGGTGCCATTATCTAGCCTGTAGAGGTCTGTGCATCCCTCCATGGATATGCCTCCTCAGAACATCAATGACCCATCACCAAAACGGTCATGCTGAATGATGTTACAGGCAGCATAATGTTTCAATGGCTTCCCCAGACCCTTTCACATCTGCTCAGGGTGAACCTGCTCTCATCTGTGAAAAGCAAAGGGCGCCAGTGGCGGATCTGCCAATTCTGGTGTTCAATGGCAAATGCCAATTGAGCTCCATGGTCCCGAGCAGTGAGCACAGGGCTCTAGAGGACGTCGGGCACTCAGGCCACCCTCCTGAAGTATGTTTCTGATTGTTTGGCCAGAGACAGTCACACCAGTGGCCTACTGGAGGTAATTTTGTAGGGCTCTGGCAGTGCTCTGGCAGTGCTCATCCTGTTCCTCCTTGCACAATGGAGCAGCTATCGGTCCTGCTGATGGGTTAAGGACCTTCTACGGCCCTGTCCAGCTCTCCTAGAGTAACTGCCTGTCTCCTGGAATCTTCTCCATGCTCTTTAGACTGTGTTGGGAGACACAGCAAACCTTATGGCAATGGCACCTATGGATATTATTATTATACAGTATTTATATAGCGCCAACAGTTTGCTCAGCGCTGTACATTATAATGGGAGACAGTACACGAGACAGTACAGTAACAATACTATATATGAGGGGTTCGAGGGCCCTGCTCCTTGGAGCTTACAATCTAGGAGGGAGGGGAGAATGGTACAGGAGGAAATAGCTGTGGGGGATGGAGTGGTGGGAAGAGTGGTGGGTTTTCAGGGTGCGCCTAAAGGTGAAGAGGGTAGATGACAGTCTGATGGATTGGGGTAGTGAGTTCCAGAGGAGGGGGGAAGCCCTGGAGAAGTCCTGGAGAGGGGGATATTGGAGGAGGAGACCAGGGAACTGGAGAGCAGGAGGTCTTGTGAGGAACGGAGAGTGCGTTTTGGGTGGTAGATGGATATCAGGTCGGTGATGTAGTTTGGGGCAGTGTTATGAATAGCTTTGTACGTCAATATTAATATTTTGAATTTTTATGCATTGAGCAATTGGGAGCCAGTGGAGGGATTGGCAGAGGGGGGTGGCAGATACGGAGCGGTTGGTAAGGTGGATGATGTGACGATCCCACGATTGCTGCCACCAATATGTGACAGGCGCGCGTCAGACCCCAGCCCTTCTCACCAAACTCTCGTGACCGAAGGACTAGCCAATCTAAAACCACGATGTCACGTGCGTAACAATGCCACACCCAGCTGCACCCTGCACACCGATTTTCCAGCTAATTGGACCACAATTGACGTACCGACAGCCTGAATTGGATTGTTACTGGGTCAGGTTAATTATGCAATTTAACCCTTCACACTGCCACCACCTCCCTTTTTATACAGAGAAAGAGGAAACTCAGCAATACACTAGGATGATTGGTTAACCGTCAGTATCCCGCTATCTCTACAGACCAGTTATACAGAGGGTTAAATACTCATAGTAGCACTCTTCAGCGGCAGGGATTCGTAAGTTACATTCAGGAGCTATAGAAACAGTTCAACACTTTTAGAAAGTAAGATTTATTACTAAAAGGTCAAAAGGGTGCAGTAGAAATATTTACAGAAAGATGTAACCAATATATATATATATATATATATATATATACAGAGCACAACAGCACAGCAAACAGATAACAGAAAGAAGTTTAGGTAAATAAGTACTTGCCAAATAAATGCCTAGGGTTAAGCAGTTTCAAGTCTGATGAGCTAAAAAGGGATTTCTGGTCTCGCACTCAGTTTCGTTGGTACAGCGCGATTCTCCTTTGCTCTTGGTTTGCTAGATTGTAAAACGCCGAATGTCCTCACTACTCGGACTACACACAAAACATAACAGCTTCTTTTCTCTACACAAAATCAACTGGATGTCTCTTTCCACAATGAACAAGCCAAGCCTTATTTGGCAAAGAATTGTTAGGCAAGGGCTCAGCATCATATGCTGATTGCATTCCTGAGGGAGGGGGAATGAGGGGATACATGAAGACTTCTTAATACAGGAAGAGCCGTGCCTGGCTCTTGTATGCACGACTGTGACAGATGAGTCTGGCCGCAGAATTCAGGATAGACTGAAGCGGGGATAGCCTGTATTGGGGTAGGCCGGTGAGGAGGGAGTTGCAGTAGTCAAGTCGTGATATGATAAGGGAGTGAATGAGTTGCTTTGTAGTTTCTGGAGTTAGGAACATGAGTACTTTGGAGATGTTGCGGAGGTGGAGTCTGCATGAATTTGTCAGCGATTGGATCTGGGGCTGGAAAGACAGATTGGAGTCTAGAATGACACCTAGTACTCTGGCATGCGGGGTGGGGCTGATGGTGGTGGCGTTGTTGGTCGTGATGGAGAGGTCGGGGGGGTAGTGCGGGCTGGGGGGAAAACTAGGAGCTTAGTTTTGGCAAGGTTAAATTTGAGGAAGTGGAGTGACATCCAGTCTGATATGCCATCCTGCAGGAGCTGGACTGCCTGTGCAACCTCTGTAGGGTCCAGGTATCGCCTCATGCTACCCAAATGCAAAATTAGTGAAAAAAACAGTCAGAAAAGATGAGTAGGGAAAAAATGTCAGTGGCCTCCACCTGTAAAACCATTCCTGTTTTGAGGGTCATCTCATTGTAGCCCACCTAGTGCACCTGTTGTTACTTTCACTAACACCAAAGCAGCTGACACTGATTAACAACCCCCTTGTCTACTTAACCGACCAGATCAATATACCAGGTGTTTAATTGACTCAATGCTATACTCTGATTAAAAAGTGTTCCTTTAATTTTTTTGAGCAGTGTATATTGTATATTAACTATTGCATTTGACACATACTTATAAGCGCAAAAGCACCATTTATTAGTTCACAAATATGTGCTTCACTTACGTATTGTTGTTTGCCTATGATAACATTTTAAGGGGCAACTTCATTAACCACTAGCCTACAGGGCACTTATACCCCCATTCCTGTCCAGGCCAATTTCCAGCTTTCAGCGCTGTCACACTTTGAATGACAATTGCGCGGTCATGCAACACTGTACCGATATGAAATTTTTATCATTTTGTTTTTGTGACAGATAGAGCTTTATTTTGGTGGTATTTAATCACCTCTGGGTTTTTTATTTTTTTCTTAAACAAACCAAAAACCACTGAAAATAAAATTAGTTTTTGTTATAACATTTTATAAATAAGTGATTTTTCTCCTTCACTGATGTGAGCTAATGAGGCTGCAGTGATGGGCACTGATAGGCTGCACTGATGGACACTGATAGGTGGCACTGATGAGGAGGCAGTGGTAGGTGGCACTGGTGGGCATTGACAGGCATCACTGATGGGCACTGAAAGGCAGCACTCATATATGGCACTGATAGGTGGCACTGATAGGCAGCACTGACTGGCACCATTGGGCGGCACTGACTGGCACTGTTAGGCAGCACTGACGGGCACTGTTAGGCAGCACTGATAGGCGGCACTGATGCACACTGATAGGCGGCACCGATAGGCGGCACTGATTGGCAGCACTTATAGGTGGCACTGACTGGCATTGATAGGTGGCACTGACTGGCACTGATGAGTGACACTGAAAGGCAGCTCAGATGGGCACTGATATGTGGCATTGATATGCCCTGGTAGGCACTATGTGGCACTGATGGGCACTGGCAGGTGGCATGGATGATCACTGAAAGCTTGCACTGATGGACACTGACAGGTGGCACTGCTGGGGCTACAAAGATCATCAGGGCACACTGATGATCAGTGTACATGTCCCCTCCAAGGAATGCTGATTACCGGCTCTCCTCTCGAGCTGTCAGCGTGACAGCTCGTGAGGAGAGAAATGCCGATAACTGGCATTTCCCTATTTACATGCAATCAGCTGTGATTGGACACAGCTGATCACATGACTGAGCCGACATCTTCGGCTCTTTCCGTTGATCGGTGATCTGCTGTGTCTGAGGGACACAGTGCACCACAGATCCCCGTGCTGCATGCGCCTGGAGCCGCGCATGCGCGGTTAGAATGGGAGGACGTCATATGACGTCCTCCCAGAACGAGAGAACCGCATTGCGCCTGTCATTGTACTATATGGCGGGCGGGAGGTGGTTAAATAAAAACATTTCTACAGTATGTGAAAAACAGTACTTACCAGAATCTGTATTTGTGCACACCAAATGCCATAGACAAAGTGAAGGAGTTATTTCATGCTGGATTACTGCACAGATCTAAAAAAAATGAACGTATGAAATACATAAGAAACAATAAGATTTAACGTAAGAGTAATTTAATTTAAGAGTACACGTGGCTCTTGTATTAGGATAATATTCGTTTAGCCCAAAATGCATAGAACAAAGTGTCTCTGTGCCTCACAATTAATAGTGATGAGCAATCACAGTGTTCAAAAGTTTAAATGCTACCTGTGTTTACATTTCAGAGCCCTCCTCCTCATCCACTGCCAATTCTCTGACAATCTATTGCTTTCTTCCTCTTGTCAGTGCTTCTCTGATCCTTACATTTAATTAGGTACACAACAATAAAGGGGTAATAAACCCAAAAGCAAACATTTATTATATTGCAGCTTAACAATTCTTAGATGTGATGGCTGCATAAGGCAGGCCATACACTATACAATTTTCTGTTCAATTTCTGCCCAATTTCCTTTAGATTTACTTTCAACTATGTAGTGCAAGAGCCTGCTTAATTGGATGCAACTGAAAGTGTTGTTAGGTTTGACCTCCTATTATATGGTTTTTGGTAAATCTAAACCAAAAATCTCAAGAAAATTGTATAATGTATGGCCAGCCTTAGTTTTCTTTTTTAGGCTTTATTTCCTTTATTTTCATCTGGTGATCCAACCAGTAAGTCATTGCTTTCAAAAGACCAAGCTATATTCTAGGTGTATCAGTGTACTGGGAAGGGGCAAACCATTTAACTATGACAGGGGTGCTTACAATGATCAGCTTTGATTTATGTAAAATCTTTGTCCCAAAAGAAAAAAACAGTTTGCTATAACTTATTATAAACTGATTATAAAGTGTAGAGTTTGGTTTCTGTTGGTTGAATTGGATTGTGTCTTTTCTCAACCAGACGAACTAAGTAAATATATAATTTGTTAGTGTATCTAAATCTGCTAGTACATTTAACACTATCCTCCCAACAAGCAGTCAATGCTGCTGTCCCCCCTGTGCTCCTTCATCCAGAGTGGGGGCATTTTAATACAGGAGGCGTGTTACTGGCCATATCACCAGGTGAAACCGGGAAAAAAAAGCATAAATAAAGACAATTAATTCAGCCACCACATCTAATGTTTGGTAAGCTGCTATATAAGAAAACTACTTTAACCAACAGCATTCAAAGGGACACTTACCACCAACCATCACCATAAGGGCACTAACTCCTGACCACTGAACTCTTCAGGCTACGTTTTGCATTACATAGTCCTGATCCCTGCACAATTGAAAAAAAGTTTTCAATTGAATTTGGGTACAGTGTTGCATGATCCAATAATTGTTGGTCAAACTATCACAGCACTGAAAACTGAAAAATGGCCTGGTAATGAAAGAGCGTATACAGACTAGAACTCAAGACGTTAAGACAATGTGTCCACTTAAAGTGTAACTAAAGGCAAAACTTTTTTAAAAAGTTTTGGATAGAGTGGTGAGGGATTAGAACACCTGTCAGATTTTATTACTGTTAGTACCCCGTTAGGCAGATTCTCCCTCTCTATTAGTCATGTTTAGCATTATCATTGAAAGTGAAAGTAAAAACAATCTTAAATTTTGAGTTGTCCCCAGAAATGTATTAGAGAGGAAATCTTCCAGTGGGGACACTAGTTCTGGTGACCTGGGAGTCCCCAAAGAATTCCCTCAATTTACAGGGATTTCCTTTCACATCCTGTTTGGCTATGAGACAGAAAGTGACAGGAAATCCTCACAATGGGACAAAGATGGCGAAAAAAAAATCTGACAGGGGTTATTACCCTCCTTTACTCTATCCAAAATAGAAAAAATGTTTTGCCTATAGTTCTAATTTAACATCCCACCCAATCTGCATATTTTTATCTTTCTTTGCTCCTCCACTGCTTTCTTTGGCTCCTGGGAGTGAAAAGAAGTCTTAGATAGGCTTCCATTTCCAAATTAAAAATTGCCATACATGGCTCACTTTTCTTTTATCCAAACAGTGGACTGAACAAGAGAAAATAAAAACCGATTCCCCCATCCAGGCTTCCAATGCCGGCTGTTGTATTACAGGCAGCCTTGGCACCTGCGGCGGTTGTATTACAGGCAGCCGTGGCACCTGCGGCTACCTGAATACATTGGTGCTTCTGAACAGTGACTGCATCTGATAGGAAGCAGTTACTGTTCGGGCAATAATTTTCCACCCAGCTAGGTCAATTTTTGATCAACGTTTGTTGAGCCAGGGGGGTCCTGCAAGGGCCACCCACAATTGCTGAAATTTGAGCCGTTCATGGAACACTGAAGCTTACTCAGGCTAAAGTCTCTCTTCCACCCCTATAAGAGTGTTGGGTAACTGACCAACCATCAAGCAGCAGCTTGGTCAATTGGGAAGATGGGAGATAAGTCACATTCTCCCCCTTGCATAAAAGCACTGAATGTTTGTAACAACAAATGGAGCAGCAAAAGAGAAGGAATATGACCAGCTGGCTAGGATGGCAGTTATGTGAACCCGTTTCTTGACCTCAAATGGGCAAAGAACATGTACTGTATGAGAGGCCTGCAGTTGGCTGTATGTTGGCGCCAAGAGCACAGGTTCCTCCTGCAGTGATCCTCCTGCTGATGTTGTAACCATCTTGTGCCCACACCATGCCAGAGGCCTGCTACGGACATTCCCAGCCATTAACCTTTATATCCCCAAAGGAAGGAATATCCACACATAAATAGGGTTGCTTCACTTTATTGGTGGTAATTGGACAATGACACAAACAGTCACATCACATCTACACATTATCTAGGGTCTCTTGACAGTACAATGTTAATTACAACTAGCGGATGGTCTGCAGAAGTCATATGTGAAAGCATCCTGCAGAACCTTCAGTAAGCCATTTTCCCTTAAACAGTCTCTCTCCACTCGGGGTCATTAGTAGTCATTAAGATGAGATCTCTGCAGTCGCCCCTTCCATGGGTACATCTTACTGGGGACCACCCGAGAAATAGCCTCACTCCAGGGAACTCTTGGCCTGACATAAAAGGCGTTTTGTACCCATATTCAATTGAAAACTGTTTTGTTGGACTTTGTGGCTGTCGGCTGGCAGTTTTCAATGAACTACCAGGGTGCTGTTAAGCTCTCTAGGTAGTTCACTGAGCTTTCTGTCATTACATAACTTCCTGCCTATATCGGAGGTTCTGGCAGGCACATACAGTTGCAAGAAAAAGTATGTGAACCCCTTGGGATTACGTGGAGTTTTGCACGAATTGGGCATAAAATGTGCTCTGAACGTCATCTAAGTCACAACAATAGAAGAACACAGTCTGCTGAACATAATACTACACAAACATTAGATGTTACCATGGTTTAATTGCACATAACATGTAAACATTCACAGTGCAGGGAGGAAAAAGTATGTGAGGCCCTAGCTTAATGACTTCTCCCAGAGCTAATTGGAGCCAGGAGTGAGCCAACCTTGACTCCAATCAGTGTGATGATATTGGATGTGTTGCTGACAGCTGTCCTGCCTTAAAAAACACACACACCTGTTTTGGGTTTACTGGTTTCAAGAAGCACTGTCTGGTGTGAACCATGCCTCGCAGAAAAGAGCTCTCAGAAGACCTACGTTCAAGAATTGTTGACTTGCATGAAGCTGGAAAGGGTTACAAAAGTATCTCCAAAAGCCTTGATGTTCATGTGTCCACGGTAAGACAGACTGTCTACAAATGGAGAAAGTTTAGCACTGTTGCTACTCTCCCTAGGTGTGGTCGTCCTGTAAAAATGACTGCAAGAGCACAGCGCAGAATGCTGCATGAGGTAAAGAAGAATCCCAGAGTGTCAGCTAAAGACCTACAGAAATCTCTGGCACATGCTGACATTTTTGTTGATACATCTACAATAAGGAAAACATTAAACAAGAATGGAGTACATGGGAGGACACCATGGAGGAAGCCATTGCTATCCAAAAAGAATATTGCAGCACGTTGGAAGTTTGCAAAAGATCACCTGGATGTTCCACAGCACTACTGGCAAAATATACTGTGGACAGATGAAACCAAGATTGAGTTGTTTGGGAAGAACACACAACACTATGTGTGGAGAAAAAAAGGCACAGCACACCAACATCAAAACCTCATCCCCACTGTAAAACATGGCGGAGGGAGCATCATAGTTTGGGGCTGCTTTGCTGCCTCAGGGCCTGGACGGACTGTTGTCATTGATGGGAAAATGAATTCCAGAGTTTATCAAGACATTTTGCAGGAAAATGTACGACCATCTGTCCGCCAACTGAAGCTCCACAGAGGATGGGTGATGCAACAGGACAATGACCCAAAGCATACAAGTAATTCAACAAAACAATGGCTGCAACAGCACAGAATACGCCTTCTGGAGTGGCCCAGTCAGAGTCCTGACCTCCACCCGATTGAAATGCTGTGGCATGACCTTAAGAGAGCGATTCACACCAGACATCCCAAGAATATTGTTACACTGAAACAGTTTTGTGAAGAGGAGTGGTCCAAAATTACTCCAGATCGTTGTGCAGGTCTGATCTGCAACTACAGGAAACGTTTGGTTGAGGTTATTGCTGCCAAAGGAGGGTCAACCGGTTATTAAGTCCAAAGGTTCACATACTTTTTCCTCCCTGCACTGTGAATGTTTACATGTTATGTGCAATTAAACCATGGCAACATCTAATGTTTGTGTAGTATTATGTTCGGCAGACTGTGTTCTTCTATTGTTGTGACTTAGATGACGTTCAGAGCACATTTTATGCCCAATTCATGCAAAACTCCACCTAATCCCAAGGGGTTC